TAACCAAGCAGCTACTAAGATAAGAACGCGCTTTTCTATCTCTGGTTTTGTAAGCAACGATTTCCTCAACACTCTAATTCTTTTAACAATAAGTAGGACTTTTCGAACAGAAGAATTCACAATTTTCGCCCAGAAGATTCTCTGCTCCAATTAACCAATCGCTGCCGGACCCGTCACCTATAACACGGCGGCAATTTCGCGCGCAGCGGTTGCGGACGCAGCAAATCGTCGTAGTTGTAAATTCTAAAAATGACCTATTTAGGGTCTTTGCAGTTGTTGATGTTGGTTCCAGACGGCTGTCGTTCGCTTTTTGCACTGTGATTGGAATGTGTGTTGTAGAGTAGGGGGCTTCCGAATGCTTATCGCCTTGTGGCCGCGTAAGCCGTTCTGGCATCTGTCAATATCATCATTCAGGGTGTTTTACCGGTGAAAGATGTCTAATCAAACGCCCTATATTGGGAGTAAGATTAGCCTAATATCGAAGCTCGACATACGTTATGAGGGTATTCTCTACACCGTCGATACGAATGATTCTACAATTGCGTTAGCAAAAGGTTCTGCTTCTTTGTTTCGATCTTCTATGGACTTTGATCACTTGGTGTTTCAGTGCGTTCCTTCGGCACGGAAGATCGTCCCACTCCGAACCCAGTTGAAGCGCGAGATGACGTTTACGAATATATAATCTTCAAAGCGAACGATATCAAAGATCTCATCGTTTGCGAAACTCCCAAGGTTTGTCCTTACTATCTCCAACTTCATGATGATTACGCTTCATTCAGGTTGCAACTTTGGCCGGAGGCCTGCCCTATGATCCTGCTATAATTTCGGTTTCTGCTCGTACAGGATCGGCAGCTGCGAACGAGCAGCAAGCATCCGCAGGCTCGTCCCGCTCCGATACGCCGCATCATCGTACAAGTCCTAATTTAGCTCAGGGAAACCGAGCCCCAGGAGCAGGTCGCAATCAAAATGCACGAGGAAATAGAGGAAATTTCAACCAAGCTGGCGGTACGTTGCAATTCAGTGCATGAAAATGGTTCTCAATTTGAGTCTTTTTGTTGCATCTCAATTTGTAGTCGAAAAAATGAGGGGTTTACTATTACAGTTTTGCCACAAAAAGATGTGGCAGTTGAGAAGATTGAATTTGCTAATTTACTGTCCGATATGAATATCTGATGCGGACAGCTACCATGTCTTAAATAAGTTTTTTGGTAGAATTTTTAAATGGAAAGTCCCGTTTTCCAGTGCAGCTATTTGTTTTCGATTATTTTGTGAATCTGGGTCTTTTTCGATGCTGAAGAGTCGAATCGATCAAAGAGTGTACTTGATATTGAATATTTTGGTGACCATGCACTTCAAACGCATCTGTGCTTGCGCATCTCTACTTCATGAAGGCCTAAACTGGTTGTGAACGTTTTGTATT